ATATATAAAAAAATAAAAAAAAAATAAATATGACTGTGGGGACATTGCAACGGTCATGTGAAAAATGGTCGTAAGTCACTTTTTTCAGGGCCACTGTAACTTCAGGAAGTCATCAAAGAATGATTGTAAGTCGAGGACTACCTGTAATACAATTTAAGGGTTTAATAGTTTAATAATTTCTTTCTAAGCATTTGTGAGGGGGGGAAAAAACAGGGAGGAAACTAGCCATCAATTAGCCATCCCTACATGGTGCAGTGAGAAAAAGCTTGGAGGGCAAGGAAGGGAAGGGAACATCCTAAGGTGCCCTTTCTGCGTTCCTGATGCCAAAGCGGAAAAGTTTGTTCCCCATAAGTCTTCCAACATTTAGTTCTGCCAACATTTGTTTGCTTTCCGCAATGTTCCTGGCCTTAGTTTCTCTGTCGCGCTCTGGGCTGGAGCTTGCCAAATGAGCCAGGGTGCCCCTCCCACTCCTTACCCCCTGATGTCTTCACCGCACCATCGGCCGTCCTTTCGCGCATCCCGCTGGGGTGGGGTTAGGGTATATAGGTATGCTGAGGAGATGGATGCCCTAGTGCTGACTTTAAACGGAATCACTGCTTCTTGGACTTGCTGGTATTGTAGCACAGAGTAAAGATACTACCGGAAGACTGTTTGGTCTGTATTTATTTCATCCATTCTATTGTTTACCAGCCTTGCTAAGAGTAGCTGAGATTCTCTTTGTTCTCACTCCCTGCACACAGACAGACAGACAGTCACACACACACACACACACACACACACACCATCCATGGGTGTTTTCCACATTTGACTTTTCGCCCCTTTATGGACCCACCTGCTGATGGAAAGACTGGTGCAGTTCTGTGCATTCCATCGCCAGCTGATGACAGAGGCGAGCAGTGATGGCCTTGGGAGCAGACACCTCAATCGCCCGGGAAGCTGGTACCCATTTATACTGGAACTCAGGTCCTGAAAGTGGGAAAACTGGGTAGAAAAGTAAATATCATCATATGACAATTTCCTTTATAGCCGGAGTATCAAATTCAGGGCCCGCGGCCTGCGATGTGGTCGGATCCAGCCCATGGGGCCGTCCCGGAAAATGTAAGGGGCCAGCCCGATCTACTCAATGCGAAGAGGAAACATCAGGCCAGCATGGCTTCCACCCAGTCTACCCAATGTGAAGAGGAAACATGCCAGCAGTTTGGGGAAGGGTGTCAAGCTGGCCACACCCACCCACCGGCAATGCCCAGTGAGTGGCATCAAGCTGGCCACATTTGCCCACGCCCCCCCCAGGGCATGATTTCATGGCAATCGCTGTACAGCTAGTCCTCGACTTACAACTGACCCCCAAATTTCCAATGCCAAGCAAAGAAGTTGTTTAGTGAATCTTACGATCGTTTCGGCAAAGTTGTCAAATAAATCAGTGCAGTTGTTATGTGAACCACACGGTCATTAAACAAATCTGGTTTCCTCCACCCTTCATTGAGTTTGCTTGTCAGAAGCCAGCTGGGAAGGTTACAAAGGGTGACCACATGTCCTCAGGACAGAGGAACCGTTTGAAATACAGGCCAGTTGCCAAGCGCCTAAATTTTGATCATGTGACCATGGGGATGCTGCAACAGTCGTAAGTGTGGAAAAAAACAGTCCTAAGCCACTTTTTTCAACACCGTGGTAATTTTGAACAGTCACTAAATGAATGGTTGTAAGTCGAGACTACCTGTGTTTTGTTATTGGCTCACACCAGAACGAGCTCAAAGATGGCTAGAACTGGGGTTTTCCCTCTTATCCCAGTTTAAAACCTTCCAATGATCTCCTGACCATTTATCTTCTTTCCTTAATAAATATTCAGCAACTCTCTAGGCCAGTGATGGCAAACCTTTTTGTTGTGGTGTTCTGAAAGCACGCTTGGGCCTGTTTTTCGGCCTTCAAAGGCTGCAGAGGCTTCCCTTGGGCCCTTGGGAGGGCGAAAACAGCCTCCCCCAGGCTCCAGAGGCCCTCCGGAGACTGAAAACAGGCACTTCTGGTATTTCCGGAAGGCCCATTTTTTTGGCCTCCCGAGGCTGCAGAGGCTTCCCTTGAGCCTCTGGGAGTGCAAAAACTGCCTCAAATGGGCCGAAAGTCAGCTGGGAGGCATGCGTATGCGCAATGCAGGTAAGTCTGGCTAGGGCTCGTGTGCCCGCACAAATGGCTCTGCATACCACCTGTGGCACACGTGCCACAGGTTCGCCATCACGGCTCTAGGCAGAGGTTTTTGATGTCCAGCAGAAGTACTTTTGGGGTTTCTCTAAATATATATTTGAAGATCCTTTGACATGAGGTGATGCAAGCATGGTGTATGTGCCCAGTAAAGGTGTCTTACCTGGTTGGTTATTAGTGACTGTATAGCTCTGGCTGAGGTTTAGCTTCCTGGGAGGAATGGTCTTCACTGAGACATGTACCTGCTCGCCACTGGCCACCTGGAAGCCGTCAAACTGCATCTGCCACTGGGAAAACAATGCTGGGGTCAGAAATGTTCCTTTCATTATTCCCAACATGTAAATGGTGATAGATCTTCTTCCCAAGCCTCCAAGGTAGGGCAGACAAGGAAACCAAAGTCATGCACACCCATACTACCTGTATTATAAGCATACAGTCACATAATTGTCCAAGTCTGAAGGTAGTCCCAAAGGTGCTTTTCTCCCAAGAGGCAACTAGATTTTCTGTTTTTGCTTTGAAGACGTTTCGCTTCACATCCAAAGAAGGTTCTTCAGCTTCTTGAACTAATGAAGCTTCTTGGATGAAAAGCGAAATGTCTTCAAAGAAAAACCAGAAAGTCCAGTTGCCCTTTGGAAAAAAAAGCACCTTTGGGACAACCATGACCTGGGATGACTGAGAATCTCCATAGACAAGTCCGAAGATACTTTTCTCCTCCACCACTTTTATCTTTGTCAGAACTAGCGATGGTTTTGTCTAAAATGCTTGTTCAAGTTACAGGTCTTGTCCAGACTCAATTTCATTTATCTGCCCATTGTCTCAGTCTCACTTGTTTTGACTTCTTCCTGTTTCTCCCTTTGCCCATTATTCCTTTTGCCCGTTACAGATCCTTGGCTTAATTCAAGAACTAGCACCGTTGGAATTCTCTATCTATTCATTGATTCACACTGATAAGATTTATATTCCGCTTTTTCTCCCGGAACTGAAGGAAGCATGTGCTCTTTGGAGTCGGATTGAGAGAGAGGACAAACCATTTGATAAGCTTTTGAGGGCTGAAGGTGGACTTCAGCCAATTCTCCTACAGCCTACGATGCAGCCACGCAATAGCCTAACTTCAGCTCAGTGATGACTCACGAATCGCTTTTAAAAAATAATGTGCTGATGATGCAGCCTTCTTCTCATCAGCCCTGTGAATCATCTGCAGCATGTATTTCCAGTGTCGGGATAACTGTCTGTCACCCCAGCCTTGTGAATCAGGTACCACTGATGATCCAAGAAGTGAACAGAGTCTAAATCAAAAGAGGAGAGTCCTCTTGCTATACCAGGCATGTACCTGATCCATTTGGTGGGAAGGGGCTTCTCAGTTAAATAGGAAAGGACAACATATCCTTTAATAGGACTCAGTCATAAGAGAAGAGAAGAGAAGAGAAGAGAAGAGTCGAGTCCTTGGAAGGGACCTTGGAGGTCTTCTAGTCCAACCCCCTGCTTAGGCAGAAAACCCTATACCATTTCAGGCAAATGGTTATCCAATCTTTTCTTTAAAACCTCCAGCGTTGGAGCATTCACAACTTCTGGAGGCAAATTGTTCCACTGATTAGAACAGAACAGAACAGAATTCTTTATTCGCCAAGTGTGATTGGACACACAAGAAATTTGTCTTGGTGCAAATGCTCTTAGTATACACAAAAGAAAAGTTACATTTGAATCTTCCATTGCTAGAAGTTATGAATGAAGTTATGTTAAAGAAGAAGATACCTAAATCATGGTCAGAAGCCTATATTACACTTATCCCAAAAGAGGAGGCCGATCCATTACAAATTAAGAACTATAGACCTATTTCTCTACTAAATGCAGATTATAAAATATTTGCTTCAATATTGACAGAAAGACTTAAAAAATATCTAAATAATTTTATTCATCCTGATCAAAATGGATTTCTGCCAGAGACAAATTAAAGATAATATGAGAGTAATCTTGGACACCTTGGAATACTACGAGGCACATCCTGAAAAACAAATGGCTCTGATATTTCTAGATGCACAGAAGGCATTGATAATGTGAATTGTCGATTCATGTTATTAGTGCAGATGGGCTTTGCTAGAAATTTTATTCAAGCAATAGAAGCTATATACTATAAGCAAACGGCAAAGGTAATGATAGAGGGAGAACTGACAGACTCTATCAATATAAGAAAAGGAACAAGACAAGGGTGCCCACTATCACCTTTGTTGTTTGTGTTAACTTTGGAAATGCTAAACAGAAATATTAGAGATGAAAAGAATATAAAAGGAATGAAAATCAAAAAGGAAGAATTCAAGCTGCAAACATTTGCAGATGATCTGGTTTTCATTTTAGAAGACCCTCTAGAAACAGCATCAAAATTGATAGAAAAAATAGAGACATATGGAAAGGTGGCTGGTTTGAAAATACATAAAGATAAGACAAAGATCTTGACAAAGAATATGCTATTAAGACAAAAGGAAGAACTGGCAGACCTATTGAAAATTCAGGTCAAGAATAAGATCGAATACTTGGGGATATATTTGACAGCAAGATGTAGTACACTAAAAGAGAATAATTATATCAAACTTAAACAGCAGATAGCGCTAGATCTGGCGAAATGGGAAAATTTACAACTGTCATTAATAGGGAGAATTTCAACAATCAAGATGAATATATTACCCAGAATTTTATATTTGTTTCAAACAATTCCAATTAGGCTTGGAAAAGATTACTTTGAAGATTTAAATAAAATTGTGTTGAAATATATATGGCAAGGTAAGAAAGCGAGAATAAAGTTAAAACTTTTGCAAGATGCTAGAATTAGAGGAGGATTTGGTTTGCCTAATTGGGAGTTGTATTATCAAGCTACAAATCTGATGTGGGTTAAATAATGGATAACACTAAGAAATGCTAGATTGTTGACATTAGAAGGACATGATTTGTTGTTGGGGTGGCATGCTTTTTTATGGTACAAAGGAACTAAAACACAGGGGTATTTTAGAAGACATTATATACGGGAGTGTCTGTGGTTAAACTGGGAGAAGATTAAAAGACAATGTTATTTGAAAATTCCAGTCTGGCTATCGACTATTGAAGCATTTTCTTATCCTATAATATACAAAAAGGAACAAACAGTTAGATATGGTGAAATATTGAATGAAAAGGGTGAACTCAAATCTATACAAAAACTAGAGGAACAAGGTATAAAGATGAATTGGTTTTCATATGCACAAATACATTCAAGGTATGATAAAGATTCTAAAATGGAAGGTTTCTATGATAAATTGACTGATTTAGATAAGATTTTGACAGGTACTGATGAAAAGGTGATTAAAAAATTGTATGGATATTTATTAGAAATTAAATTAGAAGAACAAGTTAAAGAAACTATGATTGCTTGGGGGAAGAATTTTGGATATGGTATTGATTTAGAGACATGGCAAAAATTGTGGTCTCAAAATTATAAAATGACAATGTCAACAACATATAAAGAAAATTTGTATAAGATGTTTTACAGGTAGCATTTTCCCCCAACAAGAATAGCAAGAATGTTCAAGAATAAATCCGAAAAATGTTGGAAATGTCATCAGACACCTGGCTCATATTACCATATGTGGTGGACTTGTGCGGATGCTAAAAAATACTGGACTAAAATCCATATGTGGTTGGAAAAAATGACAAAAAAACATATAGACTTAAAACCAGAGATATTTTTATTGGGAATTTTACCTGAAATATATAGTAAAGACTTGAAATATCTGATTGTAAATGTATTAACAGCGGCTAGGATTGTATTTGCTAAAAACTGGAAAAATGAGAAAACACCATCACAGGAGGAAATCATTAAGAAAATATTGGAATGTGCTGAAATGAGTAGATTGACATTTGAAATTAAGAGAACAAGAGGATAAACAATTTAATAAAATTTGCGATCTATTCTATCAATGGTTAGACAATAAAATAGAGTAATGAAATATGCAGACTTTTAGAAAATAATAAATATATAAAGATGTACTTCTTTCTTATTATATCTACAAAATGATTTTAGGATAGATTTGGGATGATAATATGAACTGTTATAAAACAAACTAAGTAAATTATGATTATCTTGTAAAATATGAATGAATAAAAGTATAGTCAAATGATTGATTAATAATGATACTAAGGTATTTAATTTTTGATTGAAAATACGAGATTATATGCAATGTAATTGTAATTGAAGACTACGAAATGGAAGCACAAAACAATTTGTAAACCAAACGGCACACTGTATGTACATATATGGAAGATGGTTTGATGTTTTTATGTTTTGTTTTTTTATGTTTGTTTTTAAAAATCAATAAAAACTTTAAAAAAATAAAAAAAATAAAAAAAGAAAGGTTACATTTGATTAATTGTTCTAACTGTGAGGAAATTTCTCCTCAGTTCTAGGTTGCTTCTCTCCTTGATTAGTTTTCCCCCATTGCTTCTTGTCCTGCCCTCAGGTGTTTTGGAGAATAGCTTGACTCCCTCTTCTTTGTGGCAGCCCCTGAGACGTTGGAACACTATCTAACACTATCATGTCATCCCTAGTCCTTCTTTTCATTAAACTAGACAAACCCAATTCCAGCAACCGTTTTTCGTATGTTTTAGCCTCCAGTCCCCTAATCATCTTTGTTGCTCTTCTCCGTACTCTTCCTAGAGTCTCAACATCTTTTTTACATCGTGGTGACCAAAACTGGATGCAGTATTCCAAGTATGGCCTTACCAAAGGCTTTATAAAGTGGTATTAACACTTCATGTGATCCCTTCACGTGGATTGCACCTCATCACCGGTGATCTACAGGTTTATAAAGATCCAGTCGAGAAGAGATTACAAGAGACAGAAATTCTACACCTATGATTTTCCCTGGATGGAACGGAGCACTTAACTCAGTGAATATCTGCCTGTAATTCGACTTGTATTGATACAGATAGTCCTCAACTTATGACCACAATTGACCCTCAAACTTCTGTTCTTTAAAATGGTACAGTGTCTCCTGATTTAGCAGGGGTTGGACCTCCAGGTCCCTTTCCAACTCCATTATTCTGTTATTATTATGACAGTCGTTAAGTGAGTTTTGTCCCATTTTACAACGTTTCTTGCCACGGTTCTTAAGTGAATCGCTGTAGTTGTTGAGTTACTAACAACTAACAACTAGCTGAGTTGTTAAGTAAAGCTGGCTTCCCTGTTGACTTTGCTTGTCGGGTCGCAAAAGGTGACCACATTACCCTGAAACACTGCAACCGTCATAAATATGAGTCAGTTGCCAAGCATCCGAATTTTGATCATGTGACCATGGGGATGCTGAAATGGCCATAAATGTGAAAAATGGTCATTAATGGCTTTTTCCAGTGCCATTGTAACGTCAAATGGTCACTGAACAAAACGTTGCAAGTCAAGAATTACCTGTACATGTGCCATCCTTGGGGTCTAGATTCTATCTATCTATCTATCTATCTATCTATCTATCTATCTATCTATCTATCTATCTATCCATCTATCTATCTATTTATTTTATATTGCCACCTATTCACACATGGCAGCTTACAAGGACATAAAACCACCATATAAAAGAAATAAAAATAATTAAAAAGAAAATAAAATAACCCCTCAACCCTAGTCCGGCAACAACACACATTCAAAGCCCCCATTTAATGGGCTCCCTCCCACTCTGGGTTCCCCTGGCCTGCTGGCAGAACCACTTCTTCAGGGCCTTCCGAAACAGTGTTGGTGTGATGACCCAAAAGTCACAAAAAAAAGTCAGAAAAATAGAAGAAAGTCCCTTTAATGCCTCCAACTTGGCCCCAATGTCCAATTATCTTCGACTGGATAGCAAACTCTTAAAGAAAGCAGTTTATGGAGGGAGTAAATGCAGTCTGCACCCAAAGTAAGGTTAATTCAAAATAAAAAACCCAACACACCACACTGAAGGAATTACTACGGCAGGCAAGGATGATTAATTGCAGACTTCTATACCAGATAACGCAGCAACCACAGTTGGGAAGAAACCAAAACACAGAAAAGCTCCGACAAGAATGCATGCTTTGCTTCCAGCAACTTTGCCATGCGCAGTTTGTCCTTTTAACCAGTCCTCCTAGCTGCAGCCCATGAAGGGGATCAGGGCCCCTTCCTCCCCCATAGACCACATTTCTCCCTTATCCGCTCCTTCCTGTGTGCCCTAGGATGAAGAGGGGATGGGCCTGGAATGCCCATCCGGCCTGTGCCCTTCCCCAGTTTCCTCCACAACCACTGGAGCCACACTCCCACTCCTTGTCAGCTGTTCCATCTCTCCTTTGGAGCCAGACTCCAACAGGGGTATGACAGTTAGAGTGGAGGCCAGGGGTGGGCTGCTGGGGGTTCACAGGGGTTCAGGAGAGCCCCTAGCTAAGATTCTGTGCAGTTCAGAGAACTCCCAAATCCCACTCCTAGCTGGCCCCGCCCACCATGCCCCTCACAAGAGTCCCCACATGACCCATTTTGGATGCAGGTAAGTGTAGAGCACGTGCAGAGGCTCAGGGAGGGAAAAAAAACGGGCCTCCTGGAAGTTCAGGAAAGCTGGAAATGGGCCCATTTCCGGCTTCCAGAGAGCCTCCAGAGCCCAGGGAGGCTGTTTTCACCCTCCCGGAGGCTGTTTTCACCCTCTGGAGCCCGGGGATGACAAAAACGCCACCCCCCACCATGGTGTAGGAGGCCAGCTAGGCCACCATGGCCGTGTAGAGAACGCTTTGCTAAAATTTTTGAAGCCCACCCCTGGTGGGAGCCAGCCTAATATCTGGGGGGGGAATGATGTTCCAGAGAGAGGGGACCACCACAGAGAAGGCCTTTCTTCTGAGTTCCGCCAGATATATCTCCTTAGGCAGTGGTGGGATTCAAATTTATTTTTACTTCCGGTTCTGTGGGCCTGGCTTGGTGAGCGTGGCAGGGGAAGGGTACTGTAAAATCTCCAGCCAGAGGTGGTATTTGCCAGTTCTCCAAACTACTCAAAATTTCCACTACTGGTTCTCCAGAACTGGTCAGAACCTGCTGAATACCACCTCTGTCCTTAGGGGATGGGACGCCCAACAGTCCTTGCTTCCCTGCTCTAGTGAGTCGGATAGATGTGACCAGCAAGAGATGGTTCCCTCAGATAATCCGGTCCCAAGTTGGGTCAATTTAGAACTTATGCTTTTCTGCTCTTAGGTTACCTTAGCTGTAGTATTGTTCTGAGGCGCCTGTGTTTTCAAGACCCGAAGCTTGTAACGGTTATAACTTGGAACGAGAAAATCCAGTTCGAAGCCTTCAATACCTAAAGTGAAAACAAACAAGAAGGGAAGATCTTATATCACCTAACTTTCTCAAACAGAGTGACGTCCATGTGCTTCATATTTATTTTGCATGATTTATGTACTTATTGGATTTATGGGTAGTCCTCGACTTACAACCACAATTGAGCCCAGCGTTTCTGTGGTTAGAGAGAGAGACATCTTAAGTGAGTTTTGCCCCGTTTTACGACCTTTCTTGCCCCAGTTGTTCAGTGAATCCCTGCGGTTGATAAGTTAGTAACCCTGTTAAGTGAATGTTAAGTGAATCGGGCTTCCCCATTGACTTTGCTTGTCAAAAGGTGACCCCATGACCCCAGGGTACAGCAACGGTTGTAAGTATAAACCAGTTGCCAAGCGTCTGAATTTTGAACACGGGGATGCTACGAAGGTTGTAAAGCGTGAAAAAAACGGTCCAAAGTCAGTTTTTTCCGGTGCCGTTGTAACATTGGATGGTGACGAAATGAACCGTTGTAAGTTGAGGACTACCTGTACTACCCATTGCAGTTGACCATAAGGCGGCATTTTAAAAACTCACCCACAATAACAAAATAACATTCACGTAGCTATAAAATCATAAAACCAAACATGAAACAAAATACTCCTAAGCATCATGTAGGGGCCAGCTTCCATTCAAGCAGGGGGTGTGAGGCTAGGCCAAAGCCACCTTTGCTTAAAAGTGGGGGAGGCCTGTAAGCAGCACGGACCAAAGCCAGGGAAAGTTCCTCAGGGAAAGGAACCAAGTCCTTAAGGGAACAAAAGTTGGCCTCTCCCCAAGACTCCCCAACAAAGAAGTTGGGCCTGCATGGGAAGCCCCTCCCCAGCAACTCTGGGGTAAAAAGAGGCCCTGAGGCCTGCCCAGCCTGTGACGCATTTTTGGATCCCAGACTTGGCAGTTTCCGTCCCTCTGGCTAGTGCCTGGAAGCCTAGTAGTGGATGTTAGGTAAGTGTGTGTGTGTGTGTGTGTAAAAAAGCAAAAATACCTGTGTTTCCCTGAAAATAAGACCCAGTCTTATTTTCTTTGGGGCCCCAAAATAAGCACTAGGACTTATTTTCGGGGGATGTGGTGGCTGCTTACCTTCGGAGCATCGCAGCCAGGCCTCCCACACTGCAACACTGTCACACTTTCTTTTGTGGCTGCTTGCAACTGCTTGCAGCCAGATGCCACATGGGTTGTCACACCGGTGCCGCCGCTCATGGCAGGAGGTCGTGTGGCTTATTGTGCCAGTGCTGCCACTTGGCGCAATATGCCATGTGGCGTCCAGCCGCGAACGGCCACAAACACCTTCAGAAGTCAGGCAGCAGGGCATGGGAGGACTGGCTGTAGCAGTCCTGAGGTAAGCAGGTGCGGGGCACGTGGGACAGCTCTACCTGTCCATCCCCACCATAGTTTGGTTTTTACATGTGCCCCTCGCCCCACCTCGTACAACCAGGTGGTGGGACAGATTGGGTGGAGCTGAACTCGGGCTTATTTTGGGGGTGGGGCTTATATTAGGTGCAGGTGTGAAAATTGGGCTAGGGCTTGTTTTTGAGGTCGGTTGTATTTTCAGGGAAACACAGTATATCAGTAAAAGTTTGTTGTTTTTTTAAATTCACTGGGACTCTGTGTATTTTAAAGAACTGTTTGTGCCTCAGTGTTTAGTTGATTTGGGATTGATTGAGTATGGCAATTTTCCAGGCCTGTGCTGAACCTGAACGCACACTTGTGTAACAGAGGCTGCTCCCAAAAATAGGCGCTCCGTTTACAAATTCTGCACATTTACATCGAGGAAATGTGGCACAACCAAGTCAGATGGGTTGATTTCTGTTGGAAAGAGGTGGTTCAATTCCATCATCAATGGAATTACAGATAGTCCTCGACTTACAAACCATTTCTTTACTGACCATTTGAACTTACAACGGCACTGTAAAAGGTGACTTATGTCAATTAACCACCTTCCTAGCTGGATTCCAACAAGCAATGTTAATTGGGGAAGCTGGATTTGCTGAATAACCTTGTAATTCCCCTAACAATGGACAGAAGAAAAAGTCGTAAAACTGGGAGTGATACATTTCACACAACTGTCTTGATCAGCATTGGAAATTCTGTTCCCAATTGTGGTTACAAGTTGAGGACTACTTACACGGTTATGGGTTTATGACATCCCTTTAACTTAACATTGGGAAAATAGTGCTGAGCTGTTTAAAGGTGGGGCCCTTTTTTGTCCACATGACAAAATTTATTTACTTATTTATTAAATTTATATGCTCCCAATAAAGTGACTCTGATCTGTATGATCACTGACATCAGACTGGGAAACTGCTTCCTGTATTTCTATGTCACAATTCTTTTCAGCATTACTGAAATCAGAAAAGGGTCATTCTTTTCAACAGCTTTGCTTAATTTTCTAGCTCAGTGGGAAGAATGGGTGGAGTCCTCCAAATTCCTTACATGTATATGGAAGACATCCAAACCTCTTCCTTTCTATCTTCCCAGAGAGCACTCGAGTCCCGGGATGATTGCTGGGACAGGGCGAGATCAGAATGTGAGTTGCATCAGGGAAGTATGATTGTGGTGTGGTTTACTGTTGCTTGTTTTATATTGTTTTGTCAGTTGTAAGCTACCCAGAGTTGGTTTTAAGGTGGGCAGCTACACAGATGTTTCAAGTAAATACTGTAATATTAAATTAAATAAATAAATCTCTCTCTCTATAAAAGCGAAATACCACTCATGCATCATCACAAAATCTCGAAAACCGTAAAGCTTACAAACTTGAAAATTTGGCACGTATGTTCCTCTTGGCTTCTAGGTGCTCAGTAAGAAAGGATTTTTCGAAATGACCATCTAAGCATTAGTACTTTGTATATTATTATTAACACGCTCTGATGCTAAGTTCTACTCCCCCTCCCCACCTGAAAAGAAATCTGTTCCAAATGCAAAACACAAGCAGAGGAGTTTCATTTTCAGTTTAGTTTCACAGCACCAAGCAGCTTTAATACAGAAGAGTTGAGTTAAGCCACGCCCAGACTCCTTGCTGTCTCCTTGTTCACACAGCAAACTCTGTTTCAGTTTCCAAACAGCTCTCAACTCTCTCTCACACTGACAGGACGCTAGCCAGATGAATACTGATGGATGCTGGTAGGCAGAGGCAGATTTTTTTCCCCTTATTTTCCTCCCCCAAAACTAAGCCCGACCGCCTAGTTTTGTAGTGAAGCAAGGTATCGAGCTAGTAAAATAATGTATTCGAGCCATTTCCTTAGAAAGGCGTTTCCGTTTCCAACCTGACTATAACACTCCAAATGTTATACCAAGATTCCCACAATTATTGCACCCTCAACAACCTGGACTGTTCTTCAGCAATCTCGTCCCCAACTTCCACACTTCCACCTGGGCCCCATCATACCTGTAGAGTTCAAAGCCACATAGACCTGCAGACAGGTTTGCTTTTCATGCTTGCAACACTGAACTGTGCTTAGGAGAAGGGCTGGCAATAGCTGAGACGGGCTTTCTTGCAGCTTGTGCTGGCATTGGGAACAGGGGCTGAGTCGATCTCCGTTTCCTGTGGAAGAGAGTAAAAAGTGGGTAAAAAAGTGAAAAGCAGAGACAAATCCATTTTTTCTAATGTCAAGGGTAGAGAGATAAATAGGGAGAGAGGAAATCAGGGGAGTCACAGAAAAGAAGCAGATGGGCCAGGATAGGGTTGTTCACAGGGATCCAAAAAAATTCAAGATGGTGGCCGCAACCATGCAAACAACCCGTGTAAAAAAAGTTGGAGGATCATATGGTTACAACCCTCATATTCCCTTTTTCAAGCTTTTTCTTTGTAGACATTCATGATCCACAATTAAAAAAATGAACTCAAATCATATTAAAAATACAACTCCTTCAAATCATACTTAAATCTTAGTGACTCTATAATATTATTTTAGCAAGAGTATGAAAGTGGTTGGCTATTGCTAACTTCCAGGCAGATTTTTTGTTGGTTGGTTGGTTTCTTCCCAGTCTAACCTACTGGTGAAATGTTGCTTGATGGTCTCCTATCCAGGTCCTAAATTGATCCGGTGTTGCTTAGCTCCAGATCAGGTCAAGCAGGTATAGTGCTAGTACAGCAAATGTGTGCCATCGCTCCTCTCTTTCATATTACTTAACTATTGCAGTTTAGCAATGGCAGTTTTGGAAAAGCTCTGGAGACAAACCCAAAGGTTTCAGGGTCATATATGACTTAAGTCAGTACCTTCAAATGCAGAGCAAAGAGCAGCAAATCAGGTCCTTAATAAATTATAAAAGGATGCAAATTTGTACAGCAGTATTAACCTTGGCCACATTAAGTTGTGGGGACTTCAACACCCAGAATTCCTCAGCCAGAATGTTGAGAAACAATGAATTAAAGCAAAGGTCTTCCAACTTGGCAAGTGGACTTCAACTCCCAGAATTCCTGAGCTAACATGACTTGGGGAAGAATTCTGGGAGTTGAAGTCCACAAGTCTTAAAGCTGTCCAGTTTGAAGATTGCCTGAATTAAAGCATCAAGTTAAAAAGTGGGAGATGTGAGTTCTAGTCTTGCATTACACACAAAGTCAGCTGGGTGACTTTGGGCCAGTCCCTTTCTCCCAGCCCTAGGAAGAAGGCAGCAAGGGAAATCTTGACCAGAAAACCACAGGTACCGCCCCAGGCAACCAACAGAAATGAAAAACTGACTCAAAGGCATACACACACACTTAAAAAAAATCCCACTGAGCTTCCTAGGCGGGAAAAAACCCCAGATACTTTAAAGCTATAATTAATAACTGTGTAGTAGAGAGGCCTGAACCCCAACCCCTGATCTTGAGGCCACGCTGGGCCTCAATTCAAATTTTAAACTGTTATCTTCTTTGCTTACTGTGTGTCTCAGTCTTTGTATTTATGACAGGATTCATTTATGATTTTGCCATCCGGAGATATTTGTTGAGTTAAGCAGCCACACAAATGGAATAATGAAATAAATAAATATGCAAGCAGGCAAATTGAACTGCAAACAAGTTCTAGGGCAAAGTTTACATTAATTTCCACGCAACCTTTCTCCCTGAAGGTGTATAAGGAAACAAAGGTGTAAGACATCAAAGTGCAAGGCGTACGTCTCTATAAAAGGAGAACAGATAAGAAGAACCTTCCAGTAAACTCCCAGCAAAAATCCACACGTTTACCTACTCCCTGGTAATTTGACCATAAAGGCCTGACCCGTTTGAATGCTCTTGGTGACACATATGCTTGGTTTATAATCAACTTACGCTTGATTACGGTTTGTTTGATTTTGTCTTCACCTGATGTGCAAACTTAGCCATTATCTTCCTTTTCTTGTAATCCTCAAATAAATAAATACATTCACAGATTGGATAAGGAAGCTTGTTTGGATACTTAACTGGCATTATAGGGTCTATACAATAGCCGATTGTTATATCTATTTACAGTGGCTACTAGCACATGCTCCAAAGGAACGAGGACAGGAGTAAAACAGAGCAGGAATTCTGTAATATTAGCACTTAACATAGAAAAGAACAAGTCATCCATTATATTAAGAGCATAGGTTTCTCCAGTGATTCTCCAGAGTAGCGGTCTCCAACCGGTGGGCCGCAGCCCACTGGTGGGCCGTGAGAAAATTTTGGTGGCCGTGAGAGAAATCTCACCCCCAGAGCACCCCCCCCCCAAAGCCATTAATCTAAGTTGCACAGAAACACAAGGCTGCGCCGCCTACATGGCCTGTGGGAACTCACCCCGCCCCACTCACTCCTTACCCAGTAAACTTGCCTGCTAAATTGCTATTTTTCCTTTTTCCGACCATCATCTGTTCTGCTGTGCTGGGAGATTTAGATTAGCTAGGAAGCAGGAAATCATTGGATTTCTTGCTTTCTGGCTAGTCTTTAGGTCTTCGGTTCTGCTTTTAAGTACAGCCGAACCTCCTTTAGGACTGAAGGTTTGCTTGCAAGCAAATTCAGTGCAGACTCACGGCAAGCAAATTTGACAGACTGAGCTAGCCGATGGCAGATAAATAGACCACTGAATGATTCTGTGAGCAACTCAATCTGCCTGCTTTGCCTGATTTGGGGTAAAAGTTGCTCTTTTTAAATAAAAAATTCAATATTTACATGCATGGTGTGTTGTGAGTTAAATTTGTGAGTTTGCTTGCAAGCAAATTTTATGTGACAGAGCTAGCCAATGGCAGATAGATAGATTTCTGAATGAATATGTGATTCTGTGAGCAATTTAATCTGCCTGCCTGCTTTGCCTGATTTTGGGTAAAAGTTGCTCTTTTTTAATAAAAAAATCAATATTTATATAAATATTTATAATATTTAGATGCAAACCATGTCCAGCCAGTCACATGACCACCAAGCTACACCCACAAATTAGGCCACACCCACAGAACCAGTTAGTGGTCCCTGGGATCTAAAATTATGAGTTTGGTGGTCCCTGAGGTCCAAAAGGTTGGCGACTCCTGCTCCAGAGCAACCAGCACACTTGATTGACTCCATTCTCACAGTGCTAAAGCAGGATGTTTTAAAGAAAAATAATTTGTTTTGGTTCACGCAGAATAATAAACCAATAATTAGTGGGTTTGCACCAGTGGTGGGATTCAAATATTGTTGCCAGTGGTTCGGTGGGTGTGGCTTGGTGGGTGCACTTTGCGCAGGCACAGAGGCGTTCTAACTTGCCTCCTGCAAGCCTGCATGATCCTGGTCACTTCAGCAGCTGCCATGCGGCACTATTCTGTGCCGCGCAAAGCAGCTGCACTTCAAACTCAGCAGATAAAAGTGAGTATGGGAGCCTAGGCGGGCAGGTGGGCCCAACAGCAGAGCAGTGGAGAGAACCATTCGGTCTTCGCTGCTCATCGCTCCTACCAGCTTGCCAGAACTGGTTGAATACCACCATTGGTTTGCACAGCATGCTAAGTGGTGAAAAAAAAAACCAAACTTCTTACAGATAAGCAATCCTTGACTTACGACCACAATTGGGACTGTTTAGCGACTGTTCAGAGTTGCAATGGTGCTGAAAAAAGGAAGGTATCACCCGTCCTTCTGCTTTCAACCATCACAGCATCTCTGATCAAACTTTGGGCCCTTGGCCACCGGCATGGAATGCATGAAGGGTGCAGTATCCAGGGTCCACCTGATCACCATTTGCAACCTTCTCGTTTGACTTCCAACAAGCAAAATCGACGGAGGAAGCTGGGTTCACTTAATAAACACATGTTTACTTAATGTCTGTGATGATTTCCTTAATAACCACAGCAAAAACGGTCAGAAAACTAGACTCTTAACCACTGCCTTGCTTAGCAATGGAAATTCCAATTCGAATTATGGTTGTAAATCGAGGACTACCTTCCAAGTGAATGTGCTGCTCCTGCGTCTGATGGTGGTGACGATGATGTTGATGGCACTGGTCTATTTCACCTCTCCCCTATTTCTCTAGCCTATGACAGAGAGTAGCAACTGTCTACAGGTAGTCCTCGATTTACAACAGTCTACTTAGTGACCGTTCAAAGATAAAACGTCACTGAAAAAAGTGACTTATGACCACTTTTCACACTTACAACAATTGCAGCATTTCCATGGTCACATGATAAAAGTTCGGCCACTGACTCATATTTATGATAGTTGCCTTGATCCCCTTTTGCGACTTTCCGACAGGCAAAGTCAACGAGGAAGCCAGATTACTAATTTACCAATTTCAATGATTCACTTAACAACTCTGGCAATAAAATCGTAAAGTGGGGCAAAACTCACTTAACAAATGTTTGGCTTAGCAACAACAATTTTGGGCTCAATTATGGTTGTAAGTTGAGGACTACCTGTGTGAAACAATACAGAGAGAGAACTGACTTTGAAATTTCTCACTGCATTGTTTTATAGACACCGCCACTCCCTCAAAGGATCTTGGCTTTAAAAAGCACCTACATAGCACTCAAAAGCACTTGAAGAAGTTCCAGTCAGTCATTACCTGGGCTACACACTGGGAGTCCGGGGTCTGATCTCCCCAGCAGCCTAAGCCAAGGTGACCACCGAGGGTCATACTTACTATTTAGTGTGGGGGAAGCATGTCCAGAGTAGCCACAAGTGACAAACTAGAGCCAAGCAAATCCCAGTCCCTACAGACATCATCTGAACTTCTCAGCAGCAAGAGAAGATGGAATATATAACTTTCAAATTTAGCTGGGTAGCTGGGAATGAACATTAAGGTAATATAATAATGATTTTTTTTAAAAAAATTAAAAAGTCAACAGGGTATCTTCATGCCATGGGTAAGAGGATATCCTACAATAGCACTAAAATAAAAAAAAAAGCTATTCAAAATCCATGAGGGCAAATTTAACAGTTTTTGTGGTGGTGCACCACTGCTTTCAAGTCACAACACCTTGCAATCAATCAAATCTGCATTTATCTACCAATAAAGGGAAGCATTTGTAGCTCAAAGTTGAAATGAGCGGTCCTTGGTGCTTTCTGAGCTTGGTTGTTTTCTTGCAGACATTTCATTACCCAACTAGGTAACATCATCAGTGCTGGTCAAGATAGTCAATCAGATGTGAGCACCAAGGACCAACCTCAGCCCAATTGAATGCAGTGAGATCTCCAGTCCTTCCCCCTCATTCAGATCCCAATTGTTATCTCCATCCCCCTAGGCTCAAATTCAACATAGAGTTAAGTTCCATAAAAAAGGTTAATTTTCTTACCATTAATACTGCAATCCTGCAAAACAAAAAAGAAAGGTAGAGTTAGAGGGGAAAAGTTAAATCAAAGGCCTCTCTTTATAAAGCAGAACATTCACAGAACAGTAAATAAGCTGTCTGAGGCCTCTTCAGGAGGCCTTGAGTGTATTGAGTGTGTATCATGTGGACTGCTGAAATATTTACTGGCTTTTGACCAACCCTTGCTGAGTCCTGAGGTGATAAGAGATAAAGGAACAACTTCTTCACACAATAGGAAAGGAACACACAAAAGGAATACAATTTGGGGACTTTCATCACCACAAAGATACCACAGCTGCTGATCTTGAAGGCCATCTACACTCTTGAAGGTCATCGACATGGCTATGTAAAATCTGCCAGTTGAGAAATGGATGCAACTCCATGGTATCAAAACACAATTGCTGACATAACCTTCATGGGAGTTTCCATTCGGTTGGGAAGCGCCTCACCAAGGACGCTTCTTAAATTCTTTTGAAAGATGCTAAAATTCCCAGGACTTGAGCAAAACCTACCGTGTTTCTCACAAAATAAGGCCGGGCCTTATTTTTTTTTGACCCCCGAAAAAAACAGCAAGGCCGTCTTTTCGGGGCTGACTTGATTTCCTCCCCCACCTAGAGCGGCCCATACGCACATACCTCGCCGCGAGGCCGTTTCTATCAGACGATGAAAGCTCCCCGAAGGCAGAGTCCCCAGCCGCTTCAGGGTGTGCCGTGGCTGCCCGTGTCCCCTCGTCTTTAGGCAGTCTCTTTCAGGCGATGGAAGCTCCCCAAGTGTAGTCACTAGCCACTTCGATCGGCTGGTAGAAGCAGCCTCGGGGTGAACGCACACACACACTCCCCTCACCGCGAGGCCACTTCTACTGGCCAATCAAAGTGGCTGGTGACTGCACTTGGGGAGCTTCCATCGCCCAAGACTGCCTAAAGGCGAGGGGACATGGTCAGCCACAGCACGCCCTGAAGCGGCTGGGGACTCTGCCTTCGGGGAGCTTTCGTCGGCCGATAGAAGTGGCCTCGCGGCGAGGGGAGTGTGTGTGTGCGCGCTCGCCACGAGGCCGCTTCTACTGGCTGATCGAAATGACTGGTGACTGCACTTGGGGAGCTTCCATCGCCCGAAAGAGACTGCCTAAAGGCGAGGGGACACGGTCAGCCACGCCACGTCCTGAAGTGGCTGGGAACTCTGCCTTCGGGGACCTTCTATCGGCTATCGGGGTATTCTAGCCTAGGCTACCTGCAGGACACTCCTAAAGGCAAGTTTTCTCCCCATCCCCCCCACCCTTCCCCTCCCATTTCTCTTCACTTCGTGTAGTTCTAACGAACGATGTGAGAAATGGCGGGGAAACACATGGTTTAAATAGGCCTAAATTTGGGGGGGTGGGGCTTAATTTCACCTCATGCCTAGAAATCATGATGGTCCTTCCTATTGGTGGAGGCCATATTGTTGGAGAAATATGGTAATTTTTCTAAGGGATTGAGGAAAATACTGCAGCTGCCCACATCCCCATGTAATCACGTTACTTCATTTACCAAACCCTGCAGTGACTTTAATACAGCCTAGTCAAAAACCACCAGATGATCCTGTCTCCCCCCACCTACACGATCCTCTATTAGTCATTTGCAATCTAAGACAAAATAGAGATCAGGGATAGGAAAGTTAGCTTTCTTTCGATATGTCTATTTGTACTTGTTGACAGATGATTCTTATCGCAGGAGACTGGCAATTCAGAAGCCGGCTTTTGCTCTCGTTTCTCAGTGTGGGGAGATTTGGCTTGATGTATTTACTGTGCCCACAGATGTGGTTTTTCTGTTCCTGCATGAGGGCAACCTCTACTCTAACCAAGTGGATGCATAGAGAGAGGCACACCTTCAATTGTGTAACACTTTGCCAGTAACAAATCACTGAAAAACATTTGAGCGGTGTGTGTTTTTACTACAGCAACGTTACTCAATCAGTTCTGGGTACAAAGGGAAAGCTGAAATTTTAAAGCTGGGATAGACAACCATACACTTTCCAATTATAAAAATCTTAATTAGGAGGCAAAGCTTTAGTGACAGAAAACTGACTGAATTCAATTGATTTTTTTTTTCCCTTTAGTTTTTACAAAACCCTATTCAGTTCCACCAAACATAGTCTGAAGAAAAAAAAACTGTTTTCTTTTGGGAGTTTATTTCCATCATCCCCAGATAGCTTACCCAAAGCAAGGGAATGTGGGAGATGTAGTCCCCCCCAAAATCTGGAAGGCCCCAATTATAGGGCAACAAATACAGACTTCAGTAGACTTCACTTACTACCACAATGAAGCCCAAAATTTATGTTGCTGAAACATTTGCTAAGTGAGTTTTGTTCCATTTTACAACCTTGCTTGACACAGTTGCTAAGTGAATCATTGCAGTTTTTAAGTCAATATCACTATTATTAAGTGAATCTGGCTTCGCTATTGACTTTGCTTGTCAGAAGGTCACAAAAGCTGATCACATGACCGCTGAACACTACAACTGTCATGAACACATGCCAGTTGTTATGCATCCAAATTTTGATCACGTGACCAAGGAGATACTGTAAATGTCATAAATGTGAAAAATGGTCATGTCACTTTTTTCAGTGCCTGGTGTAACTTTGAACAAAATGAACTTTTGAAAGTCAAGGACAACCTGTACTTACTATGAAGAATAAATAACTTGCAGCAGTTGGTCAAGTTTTGTTTAAAATTGTCTCTGAGAGTTTGCAACAGACTAAGAAATAAAAAACAAGCTTATTTCATCAACAATGGTAAAGCCTTTGGTTTCCTCCTTCCCCCAATACTGCATCCCTAGCAGTCAATCATCATGATTTTCCTCTTCCCTTCTCATCATTATTTCCTTTTATGTCATGTCATTTTTAGTGTAAAAATGATGGCAACAATTATGATGATTGATGCATATAACCCCTTGGGAGCTTTTTCAACTGAAGAGGAAAGGGGTGTAAAAATACTTGATAATTATTTTTGTTAATAAATAAATGAAAGCTACTAGATGACACTGGTTTTCTTGGCGTGGAAAATAAGGTGAAGGAAAAAGTTTCTTCTGCTAAGGGTCTGGGTGTGGTATTAATGTTTAGGGCACAAATATTTGGCTGGAAGACAAAATATCAGGAGGAAAACATGGAAACCAGGCCCCTGTGTAAAACTGTAAGAAAAGAGAACAGAGGTAATGCTGAGAATTTACCCTACATTAATACCTAATTTAGCTCAAATGAGTACAAATTCACTATTATTACATTATGTTAATCCATTTTCGGTAGCAATGCCTACATGAAAATAAATCCAAAGACTTTGAAGCTCTAAACCTGTTAAGGGTGGGTATGATATTATATAAACAAGTAAAGTAGTGAATGGGCAGAAAGGCAACAGTTTGTTTCTCTTTGCTACAGAAAGTGCCAATTTTCTGTCATATTATCACCTGTCATATTTTAGTCACAAAGTGATTAAGAGCTTTGCAAAGGAGGACAAAATACTAAACTTCTAGGTGAGATAATAAACAGAATAAACAGCCTTAATGGGGTAAAAGTGTGTAGCTGTCAAGGAGGAAGAGGAGGAGAAGGAGAAGGAGAAAGAGGAGGAGAGGGAGGGAGGGGGAGGAGGAAAAGGAGGAGGAAGAGAAGGAATAGAAGAAAAAAGAGGAGGAAAAAAAGGAGGAGGAGAAAAAGAAGACAGGTAGAATATAAAGTTATCCCCCCTCCCCAAAGGGAATTGTATTTTGGGAAGAAAAACAACTATTAACATTTCTTTGCGCAACACAGAAAAACCATCCAAAGGAAAGGTTTTCCCACAATCCTGAGAACAACAGCTGCATCCTTTAACTTATCTGCAAACTGAACAGAAGGATACTAGAAAGAAATTACTTCTGTTAATAAATGTACTATTCACAGGTTAGAAGTTATCTGCTTCAGTTGATGCAGGAGGTGATACCTTTCTTAAGCCAGTGGCAGTTTAGCTCTCTACTCCAGTGCAAGCCCATCATGAAGTTCTAACAGTTTGGAAGACTGTCCCTCCATTATTTCCTTCACCTTCTCTATGTTCTTCTCTGCTCTTCAATGAAACTTTATAAATCGTACAAAATCCTAGTTAACTTTATTACAGGCTCTGAAGGTGATAAAGTTAGGAGAACAGGCTTCTCACTTCCCATTAATCAATTCCAGTTACCTATTTCTTTTAAGACTTATTCTTTTCAGATGTCTCTTCCTTCCTCCCTTTTTTTTCCTTTTTGAATTTCTGCATCCTTTGATGCACCTTAACCACGGTGTGTATTGCCAATCCCTGTCAGTTTCTCCAGTGTTGAGAGTTGGAAAATGAAAAGGAAGTGGGTGTTTGCACATGTATGTACGTGCAAGAACTTATACTCTCTCACACCCACATTATGAGAACTTTATTTGAACAAAAAATCCTCTTATCTTTGTTGAATACATAAATTAGCCCTAAGGGTCTTGGATTTGACAATGTAGCATATAGCTCTTGGAAATTTGCTATTTGCAAATTACAATCTGGATATTAAGATTGTATCATCTGATCTGACTGCCCATCAAAGGCATGGGACTAGATGCAGGGATTAGAGAGATATTTGTTTACTTAATTTTGCCATTTTTTAAAACCAATCTGGAAGTCAAAGCTAAATTGTCATTCAAAATTCAAAATATTTTGGAGTGGAATACTGTAATGTTGTTCATCGTGTTCTTAAACACATTCACTAATTATTATTATTAAGGAAAGACCTGTGCATTAAAATGTGTGTGTGTGTGTGTGAAAATAATGTACAAAAGGCATTACAAAAGGAATTATTTGCAAAACTCTGAACTTGTAGTAAAACTCAAAGACATGCCCATTAAAATACATGCATATTCTAATACTAATTCTATAAACAGTCCAGTTCAAGGAAATCAACTTTACAGATTTGCCAAAGAAGAGAGGTGGGAATAAACCCCAAATGGACAAATTTTTTGATTGCTGCTGGGCTGCACATCTTTCATGAAATGTTCAGAGAAATACAAGCATCTTTAGGAACAAATGAATACATCACTTTGGTGACATAACATGCACACCTTTTATAGAATAGAATAGAATAGAATAGAATAGAATAGAATAGAATAGAATAGAACAGAATTCTTTATTGGCCATGTGTGATTGGACACACAAGGAATTTGTCTTTGGTGCATATGCTCTCAGTGTACATAAGAAAAAAAAATAAAAATACATTCATCAAGAATCATAAGATACAACACTTAGTGATAATCATAGCTTACTATTAAGCAATCAAATCATATTAGGAAACAAATAAAACAATATGAATTGTAAAGATACAAGCAACATAGTTATAGTCATAAGTAGGAAGAGATAGGTTATAGGAAGGATGAGAATAATAATAGTAATAGTCTTTCTAAGTAGTATGACAGTGTTGTGGGAATTAATTGTTTAGCAGGGTGATGGCATTCAGGAAAAAACTGTCCTTGTATCTAGTTGACAAGCATTTGAAATTATCCAAAACTCTGTGATGTTTAAAAATTCTTTAACTGCCTCTGTTGCAGAATAACATACTTTTAAATCTTTGGGTATTTCTACATAGACATCTATTCTACCATTCACAACGGAGACTTTTAAATGTTATTTATTCATTCTTTTTGACTGTAAGCCAGTGGGTTTTTTTTTCCTTTCAAATGCCAGAAATCCCATACCATGACTCCTTCCCCATTTTCTCTACTCTCTTTCCAATACTCTGTCAATTTTGTTTGGACTGTTTGAGGAATTATCAACAATAAATTGATAACTGGCTGTCCACATCATACTAAGTGATAAACTGTTGCACCTTTGTCCTGTTTGTGAAATCAATTATTTCAGTCAGGGACAATTCTGCCTGCAATCTGTGTCCTCTGAGCTTTGAGCTCTGCTCCTTCTGGTATTCTTTATGACTAACTCAGCAATGAACTAAATATACCCCCGCACATATTCAATCACATTTCCCACTTATTAAATTATTATTATAATTTTACAGCGTGAAGCTAAGCTTTAACTTGCAAGACACATTTAAAGGTAAGGCTGGTCTCGGTTACTAAGAGGACAAACAACACAGAAGAGGGACCAGACTCCATCAAAGATTACATTTTTTTTAGCAGCTTTGTTGGAGACGGCCAAAGTGCCTGTGTCAGTGTTGCTAATGCCACCGGCTAATCACATACATGATGTTGCTAAAGACAAAACCTCCAGCTCTTGGATGGGCCACATCTGACCACATGTGACAATGTCTTCTCCTTCAAACACATCAAAAATCAGTCACAAGTTAGCTGAGGAGATCAGAAGGATACCCTTTCCTCCTAAGTTCCCACCTCGGAAACCACATGGCCTCAAGTCTCTCCGCTGCCTATCATGCAAATGAGCAGACGCTGGAGTAGGTGCCCTCTTCGCTACTCCTGGTGGCTTTCATTCCCATGAACCAAGAAGAAATCAACTTCAAAGGTTTCGGTACCCTCAGCATTCGAACCCTTGACCATATGAGAGGAAGATCCCCGCCAAAGCCACCCTCCCCTCAGTCTTCTCCCCAGGAAGAGAATCTCCTTACGAAGTTGGTGAGGACTTCTCCGCAGGGACACGGCTGGTGGGTCTGGAGCGCAGCAGGCGGGAGATCCAGCAGGAAAGCGGTGAGGAGCAGCAGGACTCTGAGAGTGGGACTCCCCATGGGGCGCGGGGCCAGACCTCAGCTGGGCTGGAACATGGCTGTTGTTAAACAGTTCAACAGTCAGATCTCGGCCGCGTATCTAGGCCAGGGTAGTTGCCAGCGTGTCTCCACCCCCTTCTTCCCTTGCACACCGCTCTACCCTGCCCTGCCCTAACCTAACTAAGCTTGCTGGGCTGCATTCTTTGGCTGCTGCTGTTCATGCTGCTGCTGGTAAGGACAGCCGGAGTTGTGCAGGGCTGTCACTGGGAGGCGGAGGGGAGAGGGGATTTTTTTTTTTTCTTCTCTGCCCCATCCCACCAGGAAAATACGTTATGTCTGTAGTAGCTCACGAAAGCTGCTGGGTTTTTTTTTTTCTTTTTCTTCAATAAAACGTGCTAGTTGGGAAAAAAAGAGCTGCCAGATGTTGCCTGATACACACACACACACAGCCCTCCTCCAGCATATCTCGACTTCTTCATGAGGAAATACTGCCCAACTGAGCTTTTCAGAATCATTTCAGAATCATTTTCCAGTCTTAAATCCTGGAGCAAAAAGGGGAATCGGTGTCCAGGGAGCAATTTACAGGACTTCTTTACTTCTCCAGAAGACAGAGTTTGTCCACAAGGGAGGAGAAACCTGAAGGAGTCACAAATAGATTTGAATCTATAGATCTCATTTGCAGATCCACCTTTCCCTCAGCAAAGCATTGTAAATACCGTATTGTATATTGATTAATTTGAGGTTGGCATTTCAGAGTCACTACCTATCTCAATATATCCTACCCTACTTTGTCTGCCACGTAGTCCATTTATATTCTTCCCCTTTGCACAGTCTGTGTGGTATATGAACCCACAATAATTATGGAAGGCTTGCGTTTTGTCCCCAATGAATATGCAGTCATATAAATTGAATTCATTTTTTTTATTGGGAATAATAAGAGGTGAACATGCAAAAGAAATGAAATACTTAATTTTACATATAATTACTGCAGCAAGAATAGCACTAGCACAATGTTGGAAGGATGATCAGATGCCAACGGATAACTTGATAATCCAGAAGGTTTACTACTGCTCTGAAATAGATAAACTCACCCAAAAACTATAAGATAAGGTAGACTCAAAATATTATACAGTTTGGGAAAACTGGTATAATTGGATAAAGGATAGAAACCAGCAAGTAAATAGATAGGGAAGGGAAAATATAAAGAGGTTATGATAGGAGTATTTATCGGATACAGGAAATAAGTATTAGAAAATTGTTTGAACACACCATCTAAGCAATTAGAAAAATGTATATGTTTATTGGTTATGTTTTTCTTTTTGGTTTTGTTTTTAATGTTTTGTACTGAGGAAAGGAAAAAAGAAAACCTTGCCCTTTAAGGAATAGGCAAAGTTCTTTCCTTTTGTGGATTCAAATTTCTTGGCTGGGAGAAATGCAAAATGATTTGGTCAGCTTCATTGAAAGTCAGAATCAGTTTATTAATAGGAAGGCAGGTAAGAAATCTCACAGAGTTCCTAGGATTAATCTAATGTGAGTAGAAAAACCTCTCTTTTATACACTTCAGGTTCTTTGATTTGTAGGTGTGAATCTTTGAAGACTTTGATTTGTGTGTGTTGAATTCCTGTCTCTTTGGGATCTCTTCCTGGGATCTTGGTTTTATGGTCCTGATCCTTTGTATTTGCTTGTTTGCTATCATCTTTCCTTCCTGCTATGCCTTTTGGTTTTCTTTTCACAAGTTTTTATAGCTTGCCATCTATTTGATTTCTATGGGAAAGGATCTTAGCTAATTTGTAGGGTTTTTTTCTCTGTATCTCATGCCTGTAATTTTCTCCTTCCTTTGTTGTGAAAAGTAAGCTGGCTCCAGCTATTTTAATAGCCCTACTTGACAAAGGGTGGGGGCTGTTTCCCTAGAAGAGGGGGGAATTGTAACTTCCAACAGTACTATCTATCTATATTTTAATGTTTAATAAAGTTTATTTTTAAATTTTTTAAAAAAAGAATAAATAAGAATATATCACAATTCCCCTAGTAGAAGGGCAAGGAGAACCACCAACACCCATATCCCATTCTTCCCTCTCATATTTCCCAATCATCTATCTGTTTATCCTCCTTCAGACACAAACAGTACCTAGCCTTATTATTAGTCTTCCACAATTCCATGCTCTCCAGCTCAACAGAATTTCAACAATCCAAATTTTCACTGAGTTTAGCCCGCGAGCATTAAAATTACTTTGAAATTCTGCATGTCTGGAAGACAATAAGGTATTAGATATGATGATGATGATTTGTTAGTTAAGAATACCTGTGATTCAACTGATTGGGGGTAAAAAAGACTCCAGTGTCTTCCGGTTGATCAGAAGAAAAGTTTTAAGAATATGGATTTATTTTGCTCTTCATCTTGATAAAGTTAAACATGTCCTCAATCAACTACAGCTCTGATGATCATAAGGCAATTTTCTTAGCAGCTGTAATAGAAATGTTTGTCATCTTTGAAACATGCTTTTGGAAGTTACGATTCCCCTCTCTTCTAGGAAAACATTAGAAGGGGAAGGAAAATTCCCCTAAAAGAAAGAAGAGGTGAAAACACAATCGGGGACAGCCCCACTAGCCCCCACCTTTTTATGGGACACACATTAGCTAGGATCTTTTCCCATAGAAATCAAATAGATAGCAAGCTACAAAAAACTTGTGAAAAGCAAACAGTATAACAGGAAACTCGGGATATTGCAACCAGGTGCAAACTGATAGCTACAAAGGATCAGGGAAAAACAGACTGGACTATAAAACTATTACTCCTACCAAGATCCCAGGAAGAGATCCCAATCTCAAAGAGACAGAAATTCAACACACACAAATCAAAGACTTCACTTACAAATCAAAGAACCTGAAGTATATAAGAGAGAGGTTTTCCTACTCACTTATTAGATTAATCCTAAGAACATTGTGGGATTTCTTCTTATCTGCCTTTCTATTAATAAACTGATTCTGACTTTCAATGCAGCTGACCAAATCATTTTGCATTAAAACCTCCCAGCCTGGAAATTTGAATCCACAAAAGGAAAGAACTTTGCCTTTTTCCTTAAAGGGCAAGGCTTCTTTTTTCCTTTCCTCAATGTCTACTCTACAGCCTTAGTACAGGTAATCCTTGACTTACAACAGTTCATTCAATGACCATTCAAAGTTACAATGTCACTGAAAAAAGTGACATGACTGTTTTCCACAGGACCATTCAGCATCATGCGATCAAAATTCAAATGCTTGGCAACTGACTCATATTTAGGATAGTTGCAGCATCTCAGGGGGTCATGTGATCCCCTTTTGCGACCTGCTGACAAGCAAAGTCAATGGGGAAGACAGATGCACTTAACTGTGTTACTAACGTTACAACTGCAGTGATTCTCTTAATAATTGTGGCAAGAAAAGTCATAAAATGGGGCAAAACTCACTTAACAAATGTTTCACTTAGCAACAGAAATTGAAGACTACCTGTATTAGGTGGTCTTTCATCTAAATTCTAACAAAGCCACCATTGCATACAATCCCAGGTCAAATCAGGTGAGCTTACTGCTATATCCTGCTGACATTACACAGGTCAATTTATTGTTATCTCCTGCTGAAATACAACAGCCAATATAAACTACAATTTTCCTACCTCTTTATATTCTATGCTTTGCACTTAACTGAAGCGCAGCAAAGGGAACCAAGAACATCTGACTGAACACAGATCTTGTGGGTGGAATACACTGATAAAAATACATTCAGATAAAGATAATAATCAGATAAAAATCTGAGTCAAATCTGAATTTCTTTCTATTAATCCAATATACCTAATATAAAGGTAGTTAGACTTAGCCTATTGTGATTTAAAAAAAAAAAATTCTCTGTGTGTGTGTGTGTGTGTGTTTTACCAGAGTCTTGAGATCCAGCCACTAGGATCCACCCATCCATAAAGAGATTTACTGTTTTAGAATTAAATAATTTTGAGTCGATCATTTGTTCCAAAATTGAATGGAGTTTCCTGTTCTTTCACAGAAACATCTCCTCCTGATTCCCCAAATGTTATAAATTCCCAGCAATGCATGTTTAGAAGACTGGGCAGTAATAAAACCATTGGGAATCAGAATTCTGGCTAATCTTGCACAATTCTTGTGCAATCAAACACAGAAATCATCCAGGCTTATTTGCAATATTTATGAAACAGCACGTAGTGGTCAGACTCCCTCCAGAGAATACTGAAAGAGACATCAGCTCACAAAGGGATACACTAATATTTGCACGTCGCTGAAAGATGGGAAAGACAAATGCAATGTACAAGACCACGTGCATATGCATATATATAAAGGACCTCAAGTTACTCAAGAATCTCAAGTTACTATAATTAACAGATCTCCAGTTATTTCCTGCTTCTGTTTTCCTTCAGAAATCAAAAGAGAGGAATAAAGCAATAAAACAGGGAGGGAAACAAGAGCAGGGGTCAGTTTGGGAATGATAGATACCAAAAGAAAAACATTTCCCATTGCAAATTCTAGTTGTTCCAATAAGAACAAACTGTGGCCTTATATCTCTATATATCTAACTTGGTTTGATCAAGTCCATTCATCTAAGAGCTGATTTCCCCCGTCCCCCATATCTACCAGTAGATTCTCATTGAACTCCTCTTAGTCTCTTCTTTAAAATACACATTCTTCACCAGGTAGGCTTAGAGTTACTCTGTTTGTAATTCCCCCTTCTCACAGCTCTTTCAAACAGGTCCTCTCCTCGCCTTTAGAAAGGCTGTTCGAAGAACTAAAGTGTGAAATCTAGGCCATGCTGTGGGTGACCTGTTTTAACTGAGGTTTCCTGTAAGGCTGGCTTGGTGGATAACGGGGACGCTGTGCATGCACACAAAAGCCACTATAAGTGAGAGACACAGGCAGCAGCTCTATGTGAGAGACAGGCAGAGGAAGTCTTACGCAAACCTCATTCAACACCAACCATCTTCCCCTAGTTCAAGCACCCTGCGCTGCCATTGTTGAAAACAACTTCTTTAAAGCAAGTAATACCAGAGCCAAAGGATCCCTTCCAACTCTTATTATTCTAGCTTCTAAACTCTGGAGTCTTCATTGAGACAATATCCTATTACT